CAACTGGAGATCATGCACAGATGGAAGTCAACTAAGATTTCACTAGACACTCTCCATAGGTCAAAAGACATCCGGGAACAGCTATTAGAGTTCTCCAGGGAATGGCTGGGTGGGGACTGGGAGGGATGGGTAGCGGAGGTCTGTTGGACAGGGGATTGGGAAGCAGGAGACGGCGGGGAAGTCAGACAAGGAGGGGATGTAGTGCCACGAGATTACCGTTTGAGGTTCAAGTAGTGGCTGTCCATCGACTCTACTGTCCCTATGAGACCTGCAGAGGAGTTTCCAGACCCGTTCCCCTCCCACCCACGGGCCTTGGAAATACACCTCTGAGGTGTTATGGGGTGAGACAGATGCGGGAGGTGCTTTCTCAAGAAGGAAGTTTCAATGCTCATCATACTTTCATCTATCCTGGTCGCAGAAGGGAGGCCCCATAGACTGGTTGAAGAAGGGCGGGGAGACGCGTGGTTCAGCTGGTGCCCCCCAGTGGTCCCACAGCGTCTCCTCGCCAAGAGGCGGGACCCGGCCGGAGTCCTCCATTTTTTTTGGAGAGGAGAGGATCGTCATCAGCAACTCCCTTCAGCACCCTGCTCAGTTAATCTTCTGGAAATCCAGAATAATCAATGCTGGCAGGCTCTTCTCAGGTACTCTGTCAAGTTTTCCTGTTTTCTGATTCAACTTTATTCCATTTTGTATCAGGGACGCTGGACCCGTTTTCCAGCAGGTGATGCTCCCCACCAATCAATGGAGTCTCTCCTCAAGGTGGTAGTGGTGTCTGCTCTTACCAGCACCACTAACACTAGAGGGGCTGTTTAAAAAAAAAAAAAAGAAAAAAAAAAAAAGAAAGAGATAAGGCAGGACCAGTTGACCAAGGTGAAAGATAGCTATGTAGCAGTAAGTCACAAAGTGACTCTAGGACATAGCTATTGCATAACCACTCATGCGTAGTGTACTGCTACAACCGTTGTTACTATGTTTGACAAAGCATGAATAACTGAACAACGTCATCCCATACACATTTGATCGCTTTCGTGACACAGGACAGACGACAAGCATAGGGAAAGACGAAGGAGAGAAAGAGACGACGAAGAATGAAAAAATCCGAGCACAAGGCTAGGCAACCTCACAAAAAGCCCAAGGAATTGTGAGACCATTGGTCATCCGTCTTCTTTTCTTTTTTTTTCAGGGGAAGCATTTCTCATCTTAGGTGGTTCCTGTTTTCTTTTTTCTTGGGATAATGGGTGGAAAGCACCCACGCGGAAACCTTTTCGGTTTCGCGTGCCCAAACTTTTCCCATTTGGCAAGAACGGCCTACAGGAAAATGAATCTGGTGCAGACACAGCGACAGGTGCATGATCCGGTAGGAAAGGCCAAGCTGTCCCGACCCAATCTCGGCCTTCAGATTTTAACATCTGACGACCTGTGTACGCCATGGGCCCTTCTTGCCAAACGGAAAAAGTTTGGGCGTGTGAAACCAAAAAGGTTTCTGCGTGGGCGCTTTCAACCAATTATCCTTTTGTGCTTTCCCTTTATGCTTCCTCTCATGACATTCAGAGAAGCAAAGCTCCTTTTGCAGACACCCGTTGGACTGACTGCAGAATAGCCACATGTGGCTCTGCAGCATACTGAAGTTTGACGGCTGCTCAGAATCTGATAGGTTTGGTGAGGATGTGCGATATGTGTGACACACTGTTACTGCCATCTCCCACCAGGTTTTGGGTGAAATGAAGGGGAAGGTACTTAGTCTACCATCTTCACCCGGATACTATTAGGAGGCCTTGAAATTATAGCTGTACTATTGGAGCAGGCTGGGGTCTAGGTACAGAGATAACAACTGGGCGCCCTATTCTTGCGAAGATGTAGTGTGAGTATGCTCATAGGCAATATCATGGGGGAGGTGCTACCCTCTTATGCTGCGAACACAACGCACAGTGTCACAGTGACTCATCTTGACTGTATCCACATGTCATTGACTGGGGTGCATTCTGTTGGGGAAAGCTTGCAGTGTTCGTGCGCTCCCAGGTCTGAATGCTAGTCCGAGAAACGGAATTTACGCGGCGAAACCACAACAGCCAATCAAAAGATGGGGAGATGGATGACGACAATGAAGAGTTGGTGAAGAAAAGCATGGAGGTGGTAGAGTAGTCCAATTATCTTGGCTAAGCGAGTATTTTTCTAGAACATTCTGACTGTCAAGTTCAGTCCAAATGTCCAAGTGTCCAAGTGTGTGTATGGGCTCATTACCCATTTTCCAGCAGGTGCAGCTCCCCACCAATAGACGGAGTGACCCAAACAGGCATGCTAGGTAGGGATGCTCGTATCACCCTGGCTAGTATCACCTGTAGTGTTGTTGTTGTTGTTGTTGTTGTTGTTGTTGTTGTTGTTGTTGTTGTTGTTTTGGTTAGTCTTGTCCAATGAGGGTAAATTCACACGTACAAAAAAAAAAAAAAAAAAAAAAAAAAAAAAAGTAAAACAAAATCACACGTACGGTGACGTACCCCTCTCTCCTCTTCTGAATTAGCTTTGCAGGGTCGGGGAGGGTCAGATATGATACATCATCCGCAGATTCCACAGCACTCTCAAACCAGACGCCAGCCCAGATATAGGAGAGCATTCTGCATGCACCTCTGTAGCCTGTAGGGGCCTGCAAATCCTTCCTCTAGTTCCAGATTCCAATGGCATCATGTACCAGAGAGAAATGTCAGAAGAGACGAGCCTTGTGATTTGATTTTTCACAATTGGGTCTCATCCCACCCAACCCGCGTCCGTCAATTCTCTCTGATGCACTCCCCAGTCCCTCCATCCTCCCTCAGTGTCTACTGCTCAGGGCAATCACCCCTCTACTAAATCTTGGTGGGATGACCTGAGAAGACAGTGGTCGCCGGCACCAGCACTAAGCAGGATAATTCATCCCTTGTTGAAGCATCTTCAAACAAGCTCTCAGACTGTCATATGGGAACTTTGAACGCTAGGCGTGAACCTTAAGTTTTCTCCACAGGCTCCGTGAATAGACCCTAGATGCCCCCAAGATTCAGTATGATCCAGGTCCCTCTATATATATCTGAACAGACTGAACGTTTTACCCAGGCTACCACAGGCAGTGTCTAATGCCCCAGACCAAGTTCAAACCTGTGACAGCCCCTAAGCTACTCGAGTCGAGAGCACACCCCTAGCACAGCTGTTCTGTTGATATTATTGTTGTTATTGTTATTGATGTGGTTTGGTTGTACCTGTATTGGGAAGACTAGTACAGTCTCTGTCCACTGCAATCATTCATGTCTCTGTCATCAAATTGAACCAGCCAACCTCTTTCATGAACTAGAACCCCCCAATCTCTGTCATTAACTGATTCCTTGACTGTCTTTCTCTCTTTATAGTCAATCATCCCATTCCCCCTTAAACTACCAGAACATGGCCCCAGCCCTGCAGAATAAGCAGCTCGTCGCCACAGCACTGTCGCAATGGCTCCGCCTACCGGACCACAATGGCTAGCGGCACCAGCCAAAAAAGAAAAGATGTGCACTGCTGGAGGTTCGGAAAAGCTCAGCGCGCCGTAAGATGCCTCCAGGCCCAGGTGTACTGGTGGTTCAAGGTAAGAACAATTGTCGTCCTTGTTCCGTTTTCATACCCATCCATCCCTTAGGAGTGGGCTTCCCCACCTAAAGCCCCCCTTCTTTCATCCCAGCCAGCCCCTCCTCTCAGGGTCAGGTTATACTGGTGGTTTAAACCGCTAGCACATGGCCCCAGCCTTGCAGAAAAAACTTTTGTCACCACAAGCAAAGGAGGCGCCAAGCGGCCAGGCCCGCCATTGAAGAAAAAGTCGGCGGCCTCCGAAGTGGTGCGGGTTTCGTGCTGACACCCACGGGCCGATTTGTGGTGTACTGGTGTCAGAACAATTGTCGTCTAGACTCGTCCTTGTGTTCTTTTCATACCCATCCATGCCTTAGGAGTGGGCTTCCCCACCTAAAGCCCCCCTTCTTTGATCCCAGCCAGCCCCCCCGCTCAGGGTCAGGTTCAGCACGCAACTGATCCTTCAAGTTGCCACTTACCCCAACTCCACCTACAATCACCTTTCTGTCATCCTGCCTACCCCCCTTGTTAAACGAGGGCCAGGCTACTTGGTTTACTGCTACCACTACTAGACCCTGCCCCATCCCTGCTTCCTGAATATCCCATGCCTGTAGTATCATATGTATGTGAAGCAGTATAGCCCTCCCGTACAATTCCCCTTCCATCATCCCACCCAGCCCCCACTCCCAAAGGCCAGGTTATGTCGTTCGTTAACTCATCTTCGCCAATAACCCAACTCCAACCTACGATCCCCATTCTCTCGTCCCAACTGGCTCCTTGCCCCCAAAATGCCAGATTACTTCATTCAGTAACCAATCCCCGCCACCAGAACCCATTCCATCCCTCGGCCCCCTGTCTATCCCTGTGTCCATAATAGCTTGTATATATGTACGCTGCGCTAGGCTGGGGGGCAAGCACGCGGGGTGTCAAACAAACCCCAACTGACCATGCATAGGCGAGCCTGAGGGCGGATCACAATCAAACCCACAACCTCATGGTTGCAACACCAGAGCTCTAATTAACTGAGGATCTGTTCGTTGGTTCAGCTGGTTCTTCAGCAGGTGCAGCCCCCCGCCAATAGACTGGGCCAACCGGTGTTACGTCTACTAGTGGAGTGTGCTCATACCACCTCCACTAGTAGGCTGAACTACATGTCCATTCCTCAGGAAAGGTAACTGTAAGAACAACAAAAATAACATTAACCTATAGTTCCCTCAGCTACTGTGTATAAATGTCCAGACTCGGAAAGGGAACCCAAAGGGAACAGGTAGGGGAAGGTGGACCCTTGTCTTAGAGGCAGGCTGCACTGTAACAGTTGCTAAGTTCATGCTAGGAAAGCACGAACTTGGCTGTTCTATAAGAGGCCAGGTTTGTGCTTTCTAAGCGTGAACATAGGAGCAGTGAAGCCCTAACGCCCTAACCTTACTCACATAGGAGTCAACGCTCTTTTATTTGTTGTTTGTTCTTTCAGAAAGGGGCTAATATGCCCTAGTATTATTGTGTCCATCCAGTTCGATCAGGATTTGAACTGTTTAATAACAAATACGCATGTGTGGCACCATTCAGCCACATGTGCTGGGTACAACACTCCTGTACTCTTCTCCCCCACCCCTCAAGCACCACAAATCTATCGAATTCATGGTTGCATTACACGTTCGGCGACTTCGTGAGTAATATGTCCTTGGTGGATTTCCCAGCCCTCCTTCAGAGGTTCTGGTGAACTGGTACTAGCGGAGTCTTTGTGGCGGATTGGAAAGATGAGGGGCATATTTGACATTCGCCCAGGCCCTCTGCTTGGCCGTCCTGACTAGCACTTCCTGGTATTTTACCTCTGTTTCACGACCACTAGATTCAGATCCCTCCACAGCTTGTTTTATCTTCCAGCCTGTTATTGGTAGATGAAACAATGTCTGCATCATATCCTTCGTCCTTGTTGGTGAGAGCATCGCCTGCGCCTCCTCCAGGCTCTCGCAGGAGGTCTCTGATGCCTCCGAGAGCAGCCTTGCCTCGTGCTCGTACTCTTGCTTCAACTCGATCAGCCTCCTCAGCAGCTCTCTATCGCCTCCTTCAGAATCCGATCCTGCTGAGTCAGCACTCCTCAGCTCCTCCACCAGATGGTCTAAATATTCCACAATGGCGTCGTTATGTGGCGTTAAGGCGTTCCATTTCTGGACCAAGGCGAACCTGGTGCAGGTGGCGGACACAGCTGCCTGTTCCTGCTCCAGCTGGCTGACCTTGGCCGTCAAGTGCGCTAGCTTCACTTGCACCTCTGTCTTCGCCGCTTCCAGCCAGCCATCTGATAAAGATCTCGACTTTCTTGCAGCAGGCTGCTGTCTGAGAACCATCTTGATATTCGTCTCCCTGTCCACGCGCATGTGAGAGGACCAGTCGCAGCCACAATGGGTGCACTTGCCTTTCTTGCCCATGGCAGAGCAAGACCGGAGGCTCGGGTCGTTGATGGTGTTCAGAGCCCCGGTGGAGTCGCTGCATGGGTCGTGACACACTGTCCTGTAGTGGTACTTCGTGACCCCCTCCACAATTACGGCATCCCTACACGAGGGGGAGATGCAAACGCAGCGGGGCTGATCCACCCGCTCTTCCTCCACGTCCCCCACATGCCCCTGCGACTTCTGCTCCTCCTCTACCTTCCCCAACTCTTCCTTTTTCTCTTCTATGAGCTTGTTATTGACCCCTATAAGGCGGCTGATTTCTCCAAGGGGCCGCATCAGTTGGAGCATGTGACGGCGGGCCTCGTTCAGAGAAATGGTGTCCTCCACATTGTGTGGAGATAGACTCAAGATGTGGTCCATGAGCCGCCTGCACTCCCTCACAGACACCCTCCAGCTCTTTGCGAAGTCGCCCGTCTGTTCATCACTGAACTTCACCCCTTTGTTGGCAGCGGCCAGGAAGCGAAACGACTCGCTATCCACCAAGTACATGGTGTTGTCGCTGAGCTCGATTTCAACGAAAGGAGGGGAGTCACTGATCTTCTTGGCCATCTCCTGCAGCACCGGCATGGTGTCCCCAGGACGATAGAAGGTGGAGCGGGCGTTGGTGAAGACGAAGGTGAGGTTGTCCTTGGCACTCTTGTGCAGGTGGGACAAGAGTTCCAGTACGCAGAAGCGGAACATCACATTGAGTCTTGCCAAGTTGGGCTTCATCAGGATGCAGATGCCATGAACCTGCCGGTGATTACCCAGAAACTTGAGGACATTCTCCAAATTGTGCCGGTCCTGGTGGAAGCCCCGAGTGTCCCCTATCCCAGGAGTGTCGATGAGACGCACCTTGTACTCCTCCCCATGGTAGGCATAGCTGAAAACGTAGGCCTTGCAGGTCTGGGTAGCGGACTTCCCGACACCGGCCTCCTCGTTATCGTCTCCCAGAAGGTCGCCCACCGTCACCCTCACGCCGCTGTAGTTGCCCGCAGGACACACCGTGAAGTGCGAAGGGATCAGGGCAAGCAGATCGTCCTTGGCGTCCTCCATGTCTTTGTGCCTAAGGTAATTGGCGAAGGCGTTGATGAAAGTGGACTTGCCTACCCCGCTCTCCCCGAGCAGCAGCACATTTTTTATCTCCCTGCCGGCCGGCAACCTCCCCAGATATTCCGCCAGCTGCTGCACCGGGTCGTCGTAACCTATATAGGTATTGCCCCCCTCGTGTTTGGCGGCTCGGCACATGTAGCTCAGCGAAGATAACGGTGCCCGCCCGCAGTCGCAGTACACGTAGCCGTCCCCACCGTACTCCACGTGGCATGCACACCTCTCGCAATGCCAGTCCCTCTCCAGAGAAGGGCATTTGCCAGACACAGAGCCCGGGCAAGGTGCTCGCAGAGGTGCTGCTACACGTGGACGTTGCTCGCTGTAACTCGTCTCCAGAGGCACACCAAGTTCCATCTGGCTGCTTCTCAGTATGCACAGCTGTGCCACTCTGTCCATTTGACGTCTCACGTCGTCGAGGATAAGGCAGCCATTCTGATAGAACCTTGTCCTCGTGTCAGGGAGATGATCAAAACCTTGGCTTTCACCCATTGTGACTCCATTGCTGCCCCGTGGAGGAGGAGGAGGAGGAGGCGGAGGAGAACGATGGCTACTGCCATGGCCACTAGGGGAGTGAGGAAGCTCGTCGACTGCCCCCGCCATAGCCATCGTGCGGCCGTCATGTCTCTTCCACGTCATGCTGCCAGCTGTCGTCGTGTTTGGCATCGAGTGTGGTGAGCACGTTCCATCTACAACGGAGGAGCTGTTGCCGGAGGAGCAGGGGTCTGAACCAAGAACCTGCAGCTGCAGTACGTAGAAGAAACAGCGAGGAGGACGACGAGCAGCAACAGAGCCAACGGATGTAGCAGCGATGGTTTCGTCGGGGGCTTCTTGAAGCCCCCTCCCCCTCTCGATATCCATGAGGCATTTGAGCAGCTTCAGGTTCTTTTGCCAGGATTCTCCACGACCCGCAGCGGAGAAATGGACCATAATGTAGACCATGTCCTGCTTGTGCTCGGACACAATCGCGCCGATGGCACTGACATCGTCCTCTCCGGTGCGGAACCTCACACCTCCGCTGCGCAGGGACGTCAGCGTCGCCACTATCTCATTGAGTCTAGCCGACTCTCTGGCAACACTCTGGCGCGCAGCGAACAGGCCGGAGCTTTGGCGGAACCTGTCCACTACTCGCGTCAAAGCCGCGGACCCCCCTCCCTCCTCTTCCCCCGACGAACCTGGAGGAGAAGGAGGAGGAGGAGGAGGAGGAGGAGAGGGAGGAGAGGGAAGAGGAGGAGGAGAGGGAGGAGAGGGAGGAGGAGGAGCAGGAGAGGGAGGAGGAGGAGGAGGAGGAGGAGGAGGGGAGCAACGAATCTTCACCGTAGCCTCGGCCACTTCCTGTCGAAGTCTCTGTGTCGTGATCTCTATCCTGCTTCGCTGGAGGTATAACACCTCCATCTCCATCCTCAGAACTGCAATCTCGCCGTGAGCTCGAATGGCAACGCCCATGTCGCGGAGCAAAGCCTCGAAATCGTCTCTTAGCTCTTGGAGCTCTTCAAACAGTCGGCGAGTTTTGGAGATGGCGTGCTCGTCCGGAAGCGTGTGTGACGGCAAAGCGCGCAGCGCTGACGCCGCTCTGGCGACAGGATAGCCGCAAACTTGTTGATGCCAACGGAAAAAGTCTGAGATCGGACATAAGCAGATAACAACGGGGGCAAGCAGACGTATGTGCTCATCACCCAGGTGTGTGCAGCAATCGACAATCCTCTTGAGCTCGGTCAGACTGGTCGATGCGTTTCCGAATGGCCTTTCCCAGGTCAAGTCCGTGAAGATCCTCACGGAAATGGAGTCGGTCTCCTCTCCCTCACCACTACGGCCCCAACTACCATACGTGGTAACGGTCTCCTCTCCTGAGTCTGTACACCTACTCCTCCTCCTCCTCCTAATCTTCTTCTCTCCTTCGTCTTTCCAACAACAACAACAAGAAGAAGAACTACCACTGCTAGCACTGCTACTACTATCGTTACCAGCAGTAGCAGTACTTCTTCTAGTACTACTACTACTACTAGTGGTAGTACCGCTTTTTCTGCTGCTGCCGCTGCTGCCGCTGCTGCCGCCGGTCCTAAGATTTCTACTGATGCGCTTTCGCCAGCCGTCGCTTCTAACCGTCGCCGTCGGGCTATGAGGAGCGCCATTACCGCGGGAATCGTCGGGGACTATTGCGCTGCTGCTGCTGCTGCGATTCCGCCTACCTCCGCGATCTCCATCACTCGCAGCAGTGCTATTAATAGCAGCAGGGTCACTCGCAGCAGGGCTATTAATAGCATCATCCCCAGCGATTTCAGCCTGTGATGAGCCGACGGGGGAATCACTACCACCGGCTTTGGACTCGCCGGTGTCTAAGCTACTACCGGTAGCAGTGGGAAGTAAGGATGCCTTGAGTGTCATCAGACGTCTCTGCAAGCGGGCCTTGGTCGCTGCCTTGTGGACCACAAGCTCCGACCCTCGCTTGTTCCCGTCGTCGACTTGACACTCTGCAGGTGATTGCTGCTGCTCCTGCTGCTGCTGCTGCTGCTGCTGCATCGGTCGGCTGGTAATCAAGGCCACCACGGTCCCGCCAAGAACCACCCCGCTTACGAGATGGGTAGCCTGATGAAGGCCGGAGTCGATTGCGTTGATGGTCCTCGAAGCTGCCACGTGGATCGCCTCCTTGTTAGGGAGCTGTTGATTGAAGTCTAGATGAGTCTCGACAGTAGTGACCTGGCAGAAGAAGGATGCCCGGGCCCCTCTGTCGGTGTCGCCCGCCGGGACGCTGGGTTCCCGATAGACAAGGTACTCCCCCGGTCCCTCCGGTGTGATCAGACCCCCGAGGATGCTCAGCTGCAGTTGAGGATCGACGTGTAAGATGCGGCACCTCTTCGACAAGCTGTGACAGTCATCTTCCTCTTCATCATCGATCGTGTAATGCACTTGAATGGACGGCTGAGATTTAGACACGGTTGGCGGGAGAATGTGATGATCAAACAAACTCAGCCGCGGACGGGATCCCTGCCTCGCTGTACAGAAAGCCTCTGTCCGGATATCGTATAAGTCGCCCACGTTAGCCGACCGCCCGAGAGCAGCCATCCTAATCACTCTCATGCTGTCACTTTCGAGAGGAGGGGACGTCATAGCTCGATCCTCCATGATCTTCTTTGTATTGGCGATGCACGGATCGTGCACGACCTGCTCTTCCCTCATCATCTCAGAGAGAGTATGTGGTAATTGCCTGGTCGTGAGAGTCTTTCGAAGAACCTAGTACAGTAATTAATCCCCACCCAGTCACAATCACAACGGTGAGCTCTCTCAGCTGCTTGCTAAATCCAAGAACGTTCTGTCGTACGCCTTCCTTCGATGTCAAGCGACATCCTTTATTCGTTTCTGTTCTTATGTCGAGCGAGATCTTAACTGCTCTTTCGAATGAAAAAACGAAGTCCCCAGTCGTTCTCCTCCTCCCCTCTTCACTCCCGTTTGCTCTCTCTCTCTCTCTCTCTCTCTCTCTCTCTCTCTCTCTCTCTCTCTCTCTNTCTCTCTCTCTCTCTCTCTCTCTCTCTCTCTCTCTCTCTCTCTCTCACACACACACACACACACACACACACACACACACACACACCCACACACAGACACACACACACAGAGGGAGGGGTGGGGAGCGGTGGGCGGGAGGGGCTGGAAGGAGTGTCACTATCAATCGATCGGTTGATATATGTCTCAGTCCGGGGAACTACAGACAGATGGGCACCGGGGTTAAAGCTGAGGCTACGGGTGCGCGCGCGAATGGAGTCCCGCGCGAGGAGAATAGGGTCGGCGGGAAGGACAAGGACTGAATACTCTGAGCGGGAAATCGGAAATGGCGCGGAGGTCACTGGTTACCAAGCGCCAATCGGAGGGCTCGTCCGCACCCCTCATCACGGAGGCTCAGTTCCGTGCGCGGGAAATCAAATTGGCGGGAAGGGCCCTGGCCACCTGGCAGCGATCGGACGGACGAGACAGCCAGATCCGCATCCCTCGTCACCGAGGATCAGTCCCGTGCGCGGGAAATAAAATTGGCGGGAAAAGGCACTGGACACCTGGCAGCAAACGGAGGGATGGGACAGCCTGATCCGCACCCCTCGTCAGCGAGGGTCAGTCCCGTGCGCGGGGGAAAAAATTGGCGGGAAGGGCATTAGACACCTGGCAGAGATCGATCGGAGGGATGGGACAGCCTGATCCGAACCCCTCGTCCCGTGCGTGGGAAATAAAATTGGCGGGAAAGGTACTGGACACCTGGCAGCGATCGGAGGGATGGGACAGCCTGATCTGCACCCCTCGTCAGCGAGGGTCAGTCCCGTGCGCGGGAAAGAAAATTGGCGGGAAGGGCATTGGACACCTGGCAGCGATCGGAGGGATGGGACAGCCTGATCGGAACCCCACTCGTCCCGTGCGCGGGAAATAAAATTGGCGGGAAGGGCATTGGACACCTGGCAGCGATCGGACGGATTAGACAGTCGGATCGGCGCCCCTCGTCAGGGAGGGTCAGTTCCGTGCGCGGGAACTAAAATTGGCGGGAAGGGCGCTGGGAACCTGGCAGCGACCGGACCGGCGAGACAGGACGACTCGCAGCCGTCGTCAGGGAGGTTCACTTCGGTCCGCGCCAAATTACTACTAATTTGGCGGGAAAGGTACTGGTCCCCTGGCAGTGATCGGATCGTCGATACGGGTTGATCAGCACCCCTCATCAAGGAGGCTCCCATCATCGGCTGACCTATCTAACGTGTTCCCGCCAACACAAAAACCACGTGCAAAAATTCATACCCTGAATACATTCGTGAGGCTTATCAGCCCTATACCGGTGAAGGCGGAAGCTGTGCTAAAGTGAAGATCTGGGGGCTAATGGAGGACACCCGTGATCGCGTATTGTTAGAGCTATATCTATCTATCTCTACATTGTTTTGGAATTGCAATGAACAAAACAAAGAGGGAAAAAAAAAAAAAAAAAAAAAAAGGAGCAAAGATTCTGAAGACAAAAAGAATTGAAATGATAAAGACATACTATGTCAGGCAACTAGCAAACCAAGCTTTTCAAGGAGTCCGACACGTGTTCGAATGAAGGACACGTGTTCAAATCCTCAAGGTTTTCAAGGACACGTGTTCAAATCCTCAAGCTTTTCAAGGACACGTGTTCAAATCCTCAAGCTTTTCAAGGACACGTGTTCGAATCCTCAAGCTTNCCTCAAGCTTTTCAAGGACACGTGTTCGAATCCTCAAGCTTTTCAAGGACACGTGTTCAAATCCTCAAGCTTTTCAAGGACACGTGTTCGAATCCCCCTTCATCGGATTCCGTCAGTTAGTGATAGAACGCTGGATCGAGCACAAGTCGAGAGTTCGAGGCTTGTCATGCCAAAGAAAGCGACCTGCCTTCACCCTGGCATGAAAACGATGAGGTAGAGGGGTTGTGATACTGTTCGAAAGCCAATCTGGTCGGAAAAGTAGGTCAGATGCATCGAAACAAGTCGTAGTTCCAGTATACATTCAGTCTGCTTGGAAAGGGCCCCTGGAATGACAACTAGGATGTCATCCTCACAATAGGATTATTGACCGCACAATGTGATCACAACTATTTTTTTTAAACACTCCTTTTTTAATGAAGTTTGAAGTCGTTTACTCTCCCCTCCCCCCTCCTCCCACCCCGGGTAGTGAGGGCCCGGGGTGGAATGACTTCTACGGTGATGTCGCTCTACCCTCTCTCCACTCGGCCAGCACAGTGATCAAAATCATACAAAAGAATAATAATAAAATAAATAAAAAAGGGGGCAGTCGGCCGTGAAGCAGAGATCGCGAGTTCGATTCCGTTTTGGATCCGATCAAAGAAAAAGTAGAAAAAGTTATGAGGACTACGTTCCAGTCTAGTTATGTGATGGGCAGAGGTACTGAATCAGATACACACGAGAACTATACATCGATATGCTAGTAGGTGATGGCACAAACAGCGAGAAAACACCGATGCCGGTAGTTTTAGACAGCCCTCTTCCCTTCACTCTCACTCCCCTCCCCTCCCCTTACCTCCCCTCCCTTCCCCTCCCCTGCCCTCCACTCTCCTCTCCCTCCCCCCCTGCCCGCCCCCCCTCCTTTGCCAAGTACTGCCCAAGTGTATGGACGTGATGGAGAGCAGAGATAACCCAATTTCCCAAAGTATACACCGTGGTTAATGACACAGGTAGTGAGGAAGCAGTGTGCGACCTCGAAAAGAAGGACCGAAGGTTAAGCCTAGCCTTACTTCGACAAATCGTGCTACTATGTAGAGTGTGATGGGCAGCATTCAAAACGACGGACTCAAGTCGCACAGGGTGAGAGATTAATAAAAAAAAGTGATAGCCTTGAGAAATAAATGAAAAAGCGACAGCCTTTGGAGATGAAAAACCGTAACAGCCTTACTTCGGGATATTGGTGGCATTCGGAACGCTAAACGTCGGAAGATTAGCATTTCCCCGTGCCAAGGATGACACTCGCTCGCTGATCGACAAATGGTCCAAAGTTGTGAAAAAAAAAAAAAAAACAAAAAAAAAAAAAAAAAAAAAAAACAGGATAGCGAGAAGAAGGGCAAGACGAGATGAGAAAATTCAAAGATTGCGGGAGTCCCGACGAGTAATAAGGCTACCGTTAATTCTATAAGGGCGTGCTTGTTAAGATCGTATACTATGCTCAGGAGTCAGGTATGCTCGGGGAGATGTAAGTCCGTAGCTGTCATCATGTTCGAGCACTTCTCATTTAACCACGGCGGCTTAGCTGACCGAGTCTTTCCCCGTTGATTGCCGAGAGATGGATACTGCTTATCTGCATGGGTGGGTGAGAGAGGGAGGGAGGGAGGGAGGGAGGGAGGAAGGGAAAGGGAACTCCGCTGGACTATCACGTCGCCGTGGGAGACCGGGTGCGTACAGTCTATTTAA